GTAGCAAGACGCAAGCTATCGTATCTTTGTCGTCTACGGAGGCAGAGTACATTGCTGCCGGAGAGGGTGTGAAAGAAGCTTTGTTTGTGCGTGCAGTGCTTTCGTTTATTGCCCCAGAGACCAGCGGCGGTAGCATTCAGGTCCTTGAGGACAATCAGGGGGCCATGGCTTTGGTGCAGAACCCCCTTAGCTCAGCGCGTAGCAAGCACATCGACGTGCGGTACCACTTCATTCGTGGATTGTTTAGGTCGGGTGACATCTCGATCAAGTTTGTGTCGACGTCGGAGCAACATGCAGACATGCTCACCAAGGCTCTTAGCAAGAGCAACCTGCAGTACCACCGGAAAAAGCTGATGAATTTGCCGGAGCTTCTGTAGGATTTTCTAGCGCTTGGGGAAGGTCATGTATACCATGCGGGGAAAGATGCATTACTGTCGCGGGCTGTGTCCCAATGGCAGGAGTAGGAGGCTTGCCTCGCATTCTTGTCTTCGCCTTGGCCTTCCTGATAAGTGCGGCCGTTGTGATCCGCCGTGATAGCAATGGTTTGTGTTGGATGGGATTTATTTTCGAGGGGTTTTGCCCGGGCGCCGGGTTTCCCCTCGACCACCGTATTGGCATTTTATTGATGTATCCGGGGTGTTTTTGCCCCACTGATGGTTAGTCACTTGCGTGAAGAACCAGGGAGGGTGTTCGTGGGTCTACGGACATGGTTTGGATATGTTAGCCGTACGTACAAGTGTGACGCAGATGGTGTAGAACCTTTTAGGTAGGGGTACGGTGATGATGCACCGGGGCCCCCTTTTGTTGTGTGCAGCAGCCCTGCTGCCACTCCTCCTCTCTGAGCACGACAGCGCCCTGGGTACGGGCGTTGCCTCACCGTCTGAAGTTAATACACTACACAAACAATACCCGATAAGTACGCGGAGTACGGCCGACAAACATTTCTTAACAGCCCCCCTGCTGCAGTATCTCCAAAACATAAAAAAGCTTAACAGCCCCCCGGCTGCATCATCTCCCAAAACACAACAGTTTAACAGCACCCCTGCTGCAACAACTCTCGGATCCAAACAACGAGAAATCAAACGAATATCATGAAGTTACCTCCGAACTCCGCGGGAAAAAAAACGCGGAATCGCGAATAAACAAGAAATGTATTTCTTATCCTAGCAACGAGGAATCAGACAAGTATCATGAAGTTGCCTCAAACTCCGCAGGTAAACGCGGAATCGCAAACAAACAAGAATTGAGGACTTCTCCTCATTTTCCGGAGGTAAAACGTGGAAAACGTGAACAAAATGAACAATCAAACCCGAACGCCCGCTAGAACTCTGCTTGTACTGCGGCGAAGATCATGGCATCTCAGCATCACATTTACCCCCCCCATCATTTTCGACAGCAGTGCTAGCAGTGACCCGACAACATCAACTGCACCATTCGGCGCGGTGAAGTCCTAGACTATGCAAACTATATCCTTGACAAATGAAAAACGCATGTACCACAGACCATAAACACCACGTTCGTTCGTGCGCATCGTAACACAACAGCCTACGTCTACGCAGTTCTCAAACTCATGGCTTTCAACAAACAAAATCGACCCAAAAATAGATAGCCAAATAAACATAATTCTCACGAACGTGCCTGTCGCGCGTAGACTCATTGTGCACCCACCGGTCATCTCGCACGGTAGCTCCCGAACACGTAGCCTCTCAATTCATGCCGCACCCTTCCAGCCACGATCGAATGTCCACCCCTGGCATTACCCACCATCGTCCCGCACCACGCAGACACCATTGTACACGGTCGGATGGGCGCCGGGATGCCCCGCACCCGCACCGGCACCCGCAGACAACGCCACGAAGCTGCCGTCGCCGCTGCCGCCGTTGCTGTTGCCGCCTTCGTCACCATTGTCCAACCAACAGCCATCCTCATCGCACGCGTCCTCTGCTTCTTGCGCCGCTGGTGCCGGTGTAGCTGCTGATGTGGGCACAGCGATCGCGCCCCCAGTTGATACGGCGGGGGGTATCTGGCCGCAGGTCGACGAAACCTCCAGTGCCACCGTTCCTGCAGCTGACGGCGCCCCGGCCGTTCCCCCCATCGACGAGTCGGGGAAAACACCAATACCTGTCGTCGTCCCCACCGTTGTTTCCGCTGCTGAAGCCACGCCTGCTGACGACACAAGTGGTGGGCCCGGCTGCACATGCAGTGCCGGTTTCTTGGCCGCCAATTTCCCCCATTGCCTCCGTATGTCAGCAAGCTCTTCTTTCATGCTTTCGAGTTCATCCGTCGCCGGTGCCGCCGCCGGTGGCACCACTGATACCGTCGCTTCAACAGCAAGTGCCTGCTCCCCGGCCGTTCCCCCTGCCGCCGCCGTTCCCCCTGCCGCCGCCGCGGGGAAGACTCTGTTGCCGGGGGTCCCCGCTCTCGCCGCCGTTGCTGCCTCCGATGCCGCCGCTCCAGCCGCGAGTGCCTACGCCGCGGCCGTTCCCCCCGCCACCGTAGCGGGGAAACCACCACCACCGGTCGCCGCTCCCACAGCAGTTGCTGTGCCCCATGCCACCGCTCCATCTGCAAAGGGGAGGAGCGACTCCGGCTGATGCCTGTGCCTGTGCCTCCTCCAGCGTCGTCGCTTCCGCTGCTGGTACGGCATAGTGTCGTTGCCACTCGCGTTGAGACCCTCTCCATCACCGACATGCACGTGCTATTGCATACGGCCGGTTGTGCAACACATGCGGCGCCGATGACCATACTCACCGCAGGCAGTGTAGTGGCCTTCAAAGCGTCGTGGCGCATTGCAGTGGCCGAGTGAGTGTCCATGCCTCCCGCACTTCACGCACTGATGAACGGCACCCATCGGAGCGCCTGGCGGCGGAGCTGACTCTTCTTGCGGGTACAAGGCGTTGCGCCCACAGTCACAGAGCCCCCCAGATCCTCACGAAATTAGGAGGTGGGTGGTGTACAGGTGGTGGTTGTGGATGAACCCACTGTTGTTGTTGCTGCTGCTGCTGCCGCCGCCGTTGTTTCCCCTTCTGACCGCCGCCGCCATGACCGCACCCCAAACCACCGATCGCCTGCGATTTGCCCAACTCCTTGATCTCGACGTTGTTAGCGTATGCCGTACGAACAACTTTTCCCTTTTCGCTCGGGGAATGGTGGGGTCGGCCAGGATAGACTTGCGTTCGACATCGTACTCGGGCGAAAGCTGGCGAACAATGATGTGGCAGATTTCCCGCTCGGATTTTTCAATGCCGACAGCTCGCATGATGTTGACGATGCCATCGACTCTGACAAAGAAAAGTTTCGGGTTCTCGCCAGGGGACATGTCAACTGCCTCCAACCGTCGCACAAGCAATGTCTTCTCGGCGTCAAAAGTAGGCATAACCCATTCGCCGATCACCCTCCACGCCTCAGGGACGCAGTCGCAAGCAGCCAACCGTTCTTCAATGTCCGTGCCGCAGGTTGCTTCCAACAGATATCCCCACGCCCGCTTGTGTGCCGTAACGAGCGCCGCACCATGAACCCGGTTCAGATATATGCAATCCAAACAGTTGATGACAGGAACATAGCCAGTGGGATAGGTGTCTTCAAGCGTCTGCTCCAAACCCTCGCTAGCCAGGAAAATCCGCAATCTCCGCAGCCAGTTCACGGCCTTCGCCGAATCTTTCGGGATTTTGGGCGGTATGCGACTGCTGCTTTAACCGCTCAACGCACAATTTCCGTCATTCATCATGCTCACTCGCTGTGTACCGAGACCAGCTCCACCAGCTGCCCAGGTAGACGTTCTCCCGGCAGCCATTACTTTTGCTGGTGCATCATTCTTCTCCGATAGATGCCCATATTCCCTCTCCGTCATGTCCTTCTCCCTCGTCATCTCTGCTCTTCCTCCGCAGACGGTTGAGCCATTGCTAGATTAAGTTCAGGCACAATAATAGCCCTAAAACCCATGGCAGCACCGTACCATGCTTCCTCCTCCATCCGTACACAAAAAAAAAATGTTTCCCTCCACCCGATTAAATTCTTGACGTGGCCTCCCTAGGGACCTTCTCACACACTCGGGAGGGCGCCCGCGGGGGGTCACCCGACCGAGTGCATATGGCTCTCCGGTCCATATATATGGTGCCGCATGGTGCACCATAGGAATCATGGAGATAATGCAAAAAATAAGAGCATTACTGTTAGTTGTGGACTGTTGACGCAAAAGCACTCCCAGCTCACTTAGCTAACACTTCGAGCACAATACAACATCCATATTCCGTAATGTTAAAACTGAAGACGCGGAAACTGGGTGAGGAAAAAGACACGGGACTTTCCGAGAAAAAGTTGTACCAAAAGAGACGTGTGCGAGCCTCGACGCCATTTTCGCAAAATATCTGCTTCACATACATAGTCTAACGCCTCGAGCGGACAGCGTCCGCAACCCATATATATTACACAAGAGGAACAACAAATAACAAGAGAATATTACGCAAAAAGTGGGCAACGAACGGTCGATAATACGACGTTGTAGACGGCTACATAGCGAAGGGTATGGTGTCCCCTTCCTTTCCGGCACGGAACAACGACAGAAGAACTGTAAACCGCACTCTGAGGGCCTATCCTGCGCTTGCTACACAACATACCTTCATCTACAATACATGGTGAAAGTCAAACAATGTAACTGTCTTGGACCTTGAACAGCCGGGTTCGACTTACCAAATACTCTTACCATCAAGGGTCGACGTTCTTTGACAAGAAGAATCACAGACACAAGATACGAGCGACGCACTACGTGAGGATGTGTCTATACTACATGTAGTCTGCTACTCAGTTGTTGTGCACTGCTGACAGTGCTGGCACCACTCAAGCACTGACGCACTGCGACTTGCTCTGATGTATTATGCCGATAGACGATACAAGTACACGTGTGGAGAGCACGTGACGCGCCAGAGGTGCTGAGCGCCCCCTCGCCGTTTCTCTTGCTAGGCAGCCACCCAGGAAGAGAGTACAGTGTCGCCTCGTTGTTTCTATTGCCAGGCAACCACCCAGGTGTTGAAGTCTTGCCATTTCTGAAAAGACGACCCAGCGTGTTGGTGAGAGTCGTCGCAGAACCAGGGGGAAATGAACCAAGGGGGGAGCGGGGGGGATGAACGCGCGAATGCCCGTGATAGAAGGATTGAGATTTTTCTTGGAGGAGTAGTTGATGTAGGATAACTCAAGGTTGGCGCACAACATGTACCTGAACGGGAAAATCTCAGTGAGGGCATGAGAAAAGTGGGTTCACTCGCGTGCTCGTAGGTTTTTGTAGGGGTACCCAAAAACCTGAGGCCCGCGCGCGTCATCAGGGGCAACGCCGTCGATAACCTGCATGGACGATTAGGTATGCACCCCTACGATCGCATGGCTAGTGGAATCACCGTCCTCCATTAACAGGCCATGCGTCGATCAAGGTGCATGTTTGTGTCAAGATATCCCTGCGGCATGTCGCCCTATATACTGCTGGCTGTACGTTTGGGATCGGTATGCGAGCGGATAGGGCTAGGGTTGAGCACTGCACGGTGAGGGTTGGGGAAAGGGTTGGGCACTTCTCGAAAGGGGCCCCTGCGCCCTACAGGTGGCTGGCCCCAAGTTTTGGGATCGGTGCGGGAGCGAGGGTTGTTCGGTCGAAGGAATAGCATGGCTTTCCAATGTGATGAGAATCTCTAACATGAGAAACGAGGACGGCGACACGGGTACCATCGACGACAACGTCGACGACGTCGACGACGAAAACAGCAGCCACAACCGCACTACCACCACAACAACATCAGGAATCGATGCACGCGTCCAGAAAGACTCACCGCGAACCCCATCGGCTCCTCGGGCTTATAGGCAGGGTGCACCTCGTCCTTTGTGGCCAACTCGAATCTTGCTTTCATGTCGGCAAACTTGTCGGGCATCGTCTCCACCAGGTTCTCCTGGTGGTAGGTATCGCCATCGTATATCAGCTTCGGAGTGGGGAGCTCTCCCTGTTGTTGCTACATTTTATTATCTGAGGGTTTTCTACCATCAAGAACATAATGTGCGTTCGTTGTAGGGGGACGTTGCGGTCGTCCATGGCCACCTTACGTATCACAAGAGGGGGGCAGAGGATGAATCTGGGCAAACCATCACATAGCTTTATACAGCTTGATTCGGCCTTTGTTTCTAAATGCCGTGGCTTGTCTAACTGGCCCAGACATCATTTCGTGGGGTGCTCTCGCCGTACGAGCGTACTGCCTGTGCCGCCAGCAGCTTAGCCTCGTCAGGAAAAAGTTTTTAGCGCTTCCCAAATTGTTTTCTTCGACCGATCAGACTCGATTTTGATTTTTTTTGGTTGTTGGCAATTTATTGTCACCCAACCTCAACTCACCGTCTCCAAAGGGTCTGCGTCTATGTGGAAGAGAAAGTCATACACCGGGCCATCGCATAGGCTGATGCACGTGCACTCGTCGTTTGGGGAACACTCCACCGTGTCCGGATCAGGGTAGCTTCCCTTGCTGGTCTCCCAGAGGACACAGCTGCGGTTGTTGGGACGGCAACAGACAAGCAAGACGTTCAACTTAATTTTTCAGAAAACAGAGTGTTGAAAAATCTAAGGACCATTCATTCCGATAAAAAAAATGAATAGGCCGATGGGCCCTGTATTTCCAAACAAATTTATTCATTATACAAAGCAGGCGTGCGTTTTCGGGTACAATTCGATGTGCCGCGTCTACCCCAGCGTGAAAGCCAGAGTTAATTAATGCTTTGACCATGGCCGTTGTGCACACGGCCAGAATTAAGTTCAACCATGTGATACTGTAGATCTTCGGCTGATGCTGCTTGTGGCTTTTACGGTCACCGAATATTGGTGAAACCCACCATTCTCTGGTTCTACCTCTTGCCATACCCGAGACAGGTGCCACACACACAAGAAAATTAGACGGAACAACGCTGGCAACCGCAGGGACCGGGCGACAAAGCGCTATGGTGGACAACATAGCATACAAGAAGTCCACAATATTGTTGGCTCAACAATTCAAAGCGCCTCTACATTGTGCAGACAAACCCGTCAATGAAAAACAAATATGATAGCGGCAATGTTACGATTGGTAACTTCATGGACCTTTCTTGCAGAATCAGCTTCCAGCCATCGTGAATATAGGCACCCCACGGACTAGCTCTCTTCACCATCTCCGCCGTGTCGGTGTCGAAAGTGAAGCTGTTGCGCCCCAGAACCATATCCGTGCGGACGGGCCCTTCCTCTGCAGACCGCCTGCCCACGATGGCGTCCCATTGGTCGAAGCCGCTCAGCTCCTTCCCCATCCCAGCCTGCCAAGGGTACGTAAGAACGAAACTGTTATTCAGCAGTCGCGGGTCCTCTGTAGGCCCGGTGGCCGGTACTTGCTGGATGAAATCTCTTTCTCGGCGCAGTAGAATGGTCACGTTGTTATATACTTTGGGATAGGAGCCAATCGAGAAAGAGCGTGGGATAGGGTTCCCTAGCCTTTTTTAGACGGCAGCAACCGCTGTAGTTGACTTCACTGCTCCTCCCGGAAACAATCTATACATTTTGACCGCCTACAATGAATATGTAGCTGTAGACTATTGTCATACACACCGCGGAGGGGCTTCATGACCCATATGTTTTCGTAAACCCATCCACGTCTAACCCTAACCCCGATCCTCCCTCGCACAATATCGTTCACGGCCTACGCTTGACCGGTGTCCTGCCTTCCGTACTTTCCACTTTCAGCTCAGCCCATTGCAGTGGAATTGCACAGGGCGTCAAGAAGCACAATAGTTATGGAGGGGGTCAATCTATTGTGGCCTGCCTTCGAAATCTAAACACAGAGTGGAGGTTGTGGTATCCCTTATGTTGACCCGTAAAATGTTTTTCCGCTGGGTGTGGTACTATGCGGGAGGGATCTTGACGCACGCATTAAACCGGTCGTCGTTACCATTGTTCAGGCTGTACACGTCAGATCGCTCCCCCCGACGGAGCTTGTGACGTGTGGGGCCAAAACGTGGGCAATTCCCAGCTTCGCCGAGCGTGAGTCGCAATGAGATGTTCGACAGATCGATTCGAAAGCATGACCCACGCACCGAGAGTCGCTAGTGAGACAGGTTTCGGCACGTTGGGCTCACTGCGGTGTTGTTGGTGATGGCATCAACGAAACACGAAAGTGTGCCACGGGGGGGGAGAGCCACTTAACGCGTTGCCGCCTTGACCAATGACAGACAATGCCCATACGGTGGTCGATGTACAGACAACAAGACAGCAGTGGTTTCCTCCACTCGAAGGACAGTGTTTCTACATCCAAACAGAGTGTCTTGGAAGAGCGGGGGAAGGTCCCTTCTAACTATACTCTCATATCTTTGCCTTCTGCGGGGTCCCATGCTTCTGAAAAACATGGCGTGGTCCTTACACCGAGGACAACTTTATCTTGTACAGGCAACAGATGAGATAAAATTTCAATATTTGTCTCGGGGGAATCAATCCCGTTCCTCACCAGCGGGAGTCCCGGAACAACACGGCCTAACGTCTGGGTCCAGTCGGTGGAGTGCATCATTCCAGAGTATGTTGTCCCCCTCGCCTGTGTTCGACCAGGGCAAGAGGACAGGCGTGTTGGGGGGGGGGGGGTAAGAGTGGTCTGCATACACATGCCGTTCTCCGTTGAAGGGGCCTTCGGTGTCGAATTTCTTTCTGGGGAGGAGTGGGGGATGGGGGTTGAGGCTCATGCGTCGGGGGGGGTGGCCGGGGTATATAATCCTTATCCCGTATATCCCGCCAAACGTTCAACTGACGAGACGAGAGAGACAGACGCCAGTTGGAGAGACAGAAAGACTTGACAGGAAGATTAACAGGCAGAAAGACAGAAGAGACTGCAGAAAAAGAAAAGGACAGGCAGACAGGCAGGCAGGCAGACAGGCAGACAGAGAGACAGACAGACAGACAGAAATACAAGAGAAACGTAAGGAAGAGAGAGAGAGAGAGAGAGATAGAGAGACGCGTCAGAAGAAACTACTTCACCAAACCGTACGCCACCGCTCTCTCAACACAACAACGACGAGCAGATGTGATACAACTAACAGAACGACAGGAACCCCACGGCACAAGAACATCGCGACAAAAACAAGGTACACACGAAAAGGGTATGTATGCACCTCCTCCGGTATCAGCTCTGTCGACTTGGAGTACACGAACGCTGGTACACGGACCCCCCCCTGGAAGGTGGTGTTCTTGAACCCCCTCAGGGGGTGGTTGGATCCCCCCGAGGACGAGCAAGCACCGTTGTCGCTGGCTAGCACGATCACGGCGTTGTCCAGGACGCCGAGGGCTTCGAGCGCGTCGTGAAGCCTGCGCACCTGATTTGGTCGACGGTTGTGACGATGATAATGGACAAGAAAAAACACACGGGAAAGCAGTCTGCATAAAACTTATATAGCTACAACATCTGCAGAACGAAGAAGGAACTCAAGAACCGGTGGTGGTCGTCATCGTGCATGTGTGTAGATGCGCGTTGAAATACCCGGACGGGATCTAGATACCACGGGGGTACGCGGGTGGAGCAGCGGGGCAGCACAATACAGGACTGGACCCCAGCCTAAACACGGCGTGAAGGTTGGGGAGGCACTTCGGGGAACCATTGGACCGGACCCAGCCCAATCGGGCGTCGAGCGCGCGCACCAAGCCTGGGTGGGACCCCTGGGAGTGAGGGAGCACCCTTTGACACACACAGCACTGACTGGTCTATCGAGGCCCTGGGGTACCTGGCCAGGCTATCGAGGACCTCGCTCGTTGGCCTCACCGGGTTGACCGGGGAAAATTGCAGCACACCGAATGCAACAAGGATCAAACAGAACGCACGAACTTGATCACAGCAGCACCAAATTCTACGTTGAATAAGTTTCTGGGGCCGTGCATCCTCGCAACCTGAAGCCGTACGACTCGGGCAGGGGACACGCAGAGGAGAATTCTGTCCGTGAACTAGGAGTTTACGTGATGCTACTGTACGATTCAGTCCCGGCCTACAAACCCCAGTTTTCCTTCGTTCAATAAGATGCTTACATCTATTGTTTTTCATTCAGCTCGAGGCAGACAAGAGAACGAACACTGCCGTATTGTGCCTCACCTCCTTGTCAAGGTAGTATATGATACGAGCGAAAACATGGCGGTCGGGTTCGTCGGAGACCACCCTTGCCAGGGTCTCCTCTTCCTCCTCCGTGAACGTGCCCGGCGGGGGTGCGTCCAGTGGCGTGTGCGCCGCCTGTGGTCGTTTCGAGTGTGGAAAAGTGGCACGTACGCGAAGGGGTTTTCGAGTGTTGGCAGCTGGTGTTGGGTCGACAGCCACAACATGTTGGGGGCAATGGACGCACGTTGAAACAGACGGCTTTTTTGTTGCGGTGGGGAAGGGTAACGCAGTCCAAGGGGGTACTGATGACGCATGCCGTAGTCGTTAGACCATAGACCTATCATCCCTACAATGCAGGGACGGGTTTTCGCCGACCAAGGCCAAAGTTCACGAGGATGGAGATGATAATCATTTTTGCATTTGCTGTGTATGCCATGAGTTGATTGGGCATCCGGGCTGACCTAACGTTTTGCATTCGACAGGCACGACAATATATTTCAAAGTGGGGGTTGCTAGATAGCGTTCATTTCGCGATTCGAACAAAAGGAGCATCACCTCTCAGCGTTTCGGGCCTTCATCTACCATCCTCGCGGGCATGCGACAGCGGTGTGAAGCGAATAATATTTACGGTGTGAGGTCTGCCTTCCAGAGGCCATTCGAGTGTTTTCGGGGGGCGTTACACCCATTGCCCGGGGTAACGTTACGTCACTGGAGAAAAAATTCTGATCCGAGTATTTCAGTACAAACAGTAGTCGCATCGGTGGTACTGGGTCTTGTGGGTGTTCTGATCGCAACAGCCCCTCAGAAGTGAGTACGCATGGATGTCTGTGTGGTATCGTTCAAGTTATCTCGCCTAGTGCACCAGGCGCAAGGAATCGGCACATGTTTCTCTTTCCACACCCTCCTTTCTTTCAACCAAAGTGGTACTCCACGTTCCACGCTAGGCAGCGGTCGGTGCTGATTTTCCCGTCCCACGAGGCCCGCCACACACCGCGAGCCCACGAGAAAACGCCGTGGCACTCGAATCGTCATCCCCCTCCCCCCACCTAACACACAAAGCGCGACAGATAACATCGACACCATTCGATGATGCGTGCCAGGTTGCTGGTTAAAACGTTTCCACCCCCCGCGCGGCCCGAAACGCCTGGCGCGAAAAAGTGTACGGTCACTATTCGATAACATTGTGCGACTCTCACTCGCCTGGTAGGCCACGTATAAAAACAGTGGATCATCGGAGGAAGCTGTTCCCGTGTGCTCCCTAGCGACATCGATAGCACGGTCCGTCATGATGGTCGTGCTGTAGTTGTCCACCATCGCAGGACCCTGCAGATGAGATGACGAAGGAGTAGTACCACCAGATCATGCATTAGAGAGGGACAAAACATCCCCGGTGGCGTGTATGTTTTCTTGCCGTGACGTATCGCGTAGATCGGTGTACTGTTTGCGAAAAAACGCCATCTAGGCGTTCCACTCTCGGGGTACCGCCACAGATACCAAACAATTCGGAAAGAAACCTGCCTTATGATCTGCCCAAAACCAAAAACTACAAAATCTATTGCATGTACGGATAAAACTAATACCCCCAATTTTTGTGGCTGACTTGCATCTGCTGTGGTTTTGGTGCGTCGTGCTAACTAAGAACGTCGTGACATTGTTTGTATTGTGTAACACGCTGACTCGACGTATTCTTTCGAAATGTCCCGCTTACTTCCCAAGTGACATCACTCTCTCGCTCTTCTTTTCATGTTTCGTCGATCTCGTGGATCTCGTAGATCTCGTAGATACCTCTTTGGTGGTATTGGTGGTGTAGTCAATGTAGCCGTCCTCGTCGCCGTACCCGAAGTCCTTGAGGCACGAATACTCCCCTCCCTCAAACGTAGGGGTGAAACATCTTTTTTATTTACGCCGGTAAGAGCAGTCAGGCGGCCATTGAAAAATCAGTTGGTTCCACCACTATTGAAGCCCCCTTGTGCATCGCTTCACGGCAATTCGTTAGCCACCTCCTCACGCCAACAATGTGTACGAACACAACACCCCTCCCCCCGTCAATGCTGTCTTCCTGCGTCCGTGCCGCGGTCAAACGCGAGGTGCTCGCTGCATGGAATTTTCGCTAAATCGGTTGGTACACGAATGCGACGAGACAGCAGTAGCGTTCTCTAGAAAACTTCTCCCTGGGAAGGAGGCAGATGACAACGTCCACGGATAGGTACAAAGGAGGTCGACAGCATCCAACAGTCATGTCGGGGAACCTGACGATCCGCTTCACCTCTCGTTCGCACGGAACGCACAGAAAATCAACGTGAAAGTAGCGCGTGAAAAAAACGCTCATGGTCTGAAAACTAAATAATCGGCGATTGAGAAGGGCGGAGTCGCAGAGATTACTCTCACGTGGAGTGATTGTAGTAGCCTTCGCCACCGCCGGTGTACCCCAAGAACGTGTCGAATCCCCTCGAAAACGGGTAGCTCGCGTCAGAAAACACGCCCAGATGCCATTTACCGGTCTTGTACGAGAGATTCAAGGCCCATGGCAGCGAGGAGAGAGAGAGAGAGAGAGAGAGAGAGAGAGAGAGAGAGACGGAGAGACAAATTTCAGTCGGTGGGATGGGGGGTGGGATGTGACGAGGGCGCTCGAGGGACAGAGAGGTACGAACAAGACAAGCCCTTTCCTGTAGCCTTGCTCCGCTCGGTGACCTACAGCCGATGTTGTCTCCCATGTTGGACAAGCCGAAGCACAGATCCCCTCGCGCCCCTGTCGTGATTCTACAAGATGAGGGGGAAGGGAGGGAACCAGAAAGTCAACAGAAGATGGAGAATATAGGAGCCCACGAAAATTTCATGCTGAGGAAGGAGCACACGCGCAGGTCGGGAGTTGGCTCGGCCGGGAACAGAGTTGGCCCAAGGATGCGATGGTTGATGCTACGCATGCTGATGATGGAGATCAAAGAAGGCCCCACCCGCTTGGTTGCACCCACAGAACAAGCCATCTCATCACCCTCATAACCCCCCCAGAGAGTGGATGCAGTAGAGGAGCTACATATGGGAGGTCTAAGAAGCTTAACCTAAGTACGGGTGCATGGCCACCAGCCGCCGGCCTCGCACGGCCTCTATTGAGTTGAAAACCAGGCGGCGGGAGTTGAGAAGGGTCTGTTGCCTTCTGCCGATGCCAGCGGCACGGTTACAACAAGAATATTACCCGCATAGCAGAATAGATGTACGAATAAATTAGCGATGATGTCAAACAGGCAAATATCTACACGAACAGTCTAGAACGCGGTCAACGCTACACAGGCTTTCGAGACAATTTTTGTTCACGCGGGAAGAGGGGCGAAAGAGATATATACTGTAGACATAGATGTATAGAGAGATCCCAAATGTCCTACAACGGTATCACGGCACCTCCCTCCCCGCACCCTCTTTTGTGATCAACATGCCTCACCATGTGAGTGGAGTACCCAGCGGCCTTAAACCTGTCGGCAAGGGTCACTTCTTCGAAGGGCAGACCCCACGGAGCAGAGTAGTCGACAATGCCGTGTTGCATCCCGGTGCGGAAGCTGTCGCGGCCGGTCATCAGCGACGCCTGATGGGGTATCAAAACCAAGAACAAGGGTCGACGATGAAAAGCAAAAACTCAATGCACGAGGCTCGATTCTTGTTTCCACTGTGGGTGTTTCCAAAAAGCGACATCACCGTCTTGAGCCTTGAGTGCTGTAGCATTCTCAACTGACCACCTGTTGATCAGGCCAAGTTCTTCATTCTATCTTTATACTTCTGAATTTCGTTTCTCCCAGCGTATGTGGTGGCGTGAAGAGTATTCATGCATACGTACATACAGAAGTACAGCAGCTGGGGCGATAGTGAATCCTTCACCTCGAAAACAAAAAAGAACGGTGGGCGTGCGCCAAGAAGTGCATACGGCCTTGTCAAGTTGGTAGGGAACTTTTCATTTTTTCCAATCAACGGTCGAATTGATGGTCTCTTGCGGTGCTATGGGTAGAGTCGGGGTATTGAAGCCGACGGGGTTTATAATATTCTGTTCTGTCTTGTGTCAACCTTTCCTCTCGCCAAAGTCGGAGTGAGGCCTCCGCTGCGCACCTGTCTTTGGGATATATCTGTCTTTCGGGTCATAACCAGGGCTGTCCTCGGAACCGATTTTTCATGTCGCTAAGATTTGCCGGTAACCAAACCAGACTCCACGGTACAACATATTTACTTTTGAGCAGTAAATGGCCATCACGGCACACTCCATGCGGTAACTGGCCCCCACGGCACAGTGCAGTATTTTCGTGCACCACGGTAATTTTAGTGCGGTAACTGACCATTGTGGTAATGTACGGCATCTGGCCATCACGGTAATTGTGTGCGTTTTGCCGCGGTCTGGTTTATACAGCAAACCAGACCACGCTACGTAATGATCTGTTTGTATTGCTTTAGTGCTTCTTTTGGGCGTGCTGTCGCCGCCCTAACGTGCGCGACATATTCACCGACCATACCCCCCGTCGACCAAAGCGTTCGCTTGAAAAACAGTGAACAAGCCACAAGACTAGATACGTCTCCACACTGTTTGCAGACAGGCTCTCGCGGCCTCATCACGACCGCGTACATCCAGCGCTACGCCAAGCAAAAGCGTCGTCCTTGACCAGAAGACAGGGCAGACAACAAGCGCCGCCTCCCTCACCCACAGACCAAAACTGGAAGCCAACGCTGAAAAAATAAGAAATTAACACCTGCGACAGGCAGCGAAAGCAACAGTCGCCTGCGGTAATCCACTTGGTCTTTCTCCGCGGTAAATCGGTTTTAGAGTTTTATTGCGGTAATGTACTCCGCGGTAGCGAGAAAGCACGGGATATGAGGTTGTTGCGAGAAAATGTTCGTTACGGCATTGAGGCAATGCAATTTCGTTCCGCAACGAATTGGGCGGTAGCAGTAAAATTTATTTATCACGGCAACGATATTGATGGAAACGGTACATGTACTTCCAATTGGTCACGGCAACACGGGAATCGGAAATTACGGTGATTTTACCACGGTAACAATACCGCGGGGAACTTATCGAGGACAGCTTCGGTATTACAGAGCCGCGGTGCGCGAAGCGCGACCGTATTTTTCCCTCCGTCCGAGGAGGGAAAAAACATGCTCTATCTACTAGGGACCCTAGTTTCCATCAATGGCCGCCTTGAATTTTCCATCCTTTCCGACCAGCACGAGGTCTACAGAGCACCGATCGACGATCTGCTGGCTTGTGAGGAACAAGAAAAACAGGGCGTTCTTCACCACACCGGTTTGGTCGTGCTCAGACAGCAGATTGCCGTGCTTCGCCGGGATTTGTACCCAAAACCATAGGAGATACTCACCCCGACCCCCGAGGAGTTGCAAAGGTAAGGAGGACCAAAACTCGGACATCTCCCACACACAACGACGTCCCGCAGTTCGAACAGAGGAAGCACTCAGCTAAACACGCAACACCACTGGGAGGGGCAAGACAGCACTAGTGGGGGAAGGGAAACATGCACACAGCTCCTGGCGGATGCCATTGTCAATGCTGCTGCTTCGGTGTGTGGGGAGGGTTCACCTGGAAGTAAAACCAGTCAGAGCCAAAAACGACCTTAATTTTTTTGCGACGGTTTTTCTCGCATGCGTGCATTTTGCAGACTCTCGCCACCTCAGCTTCCGTGAGTCCTATGGCCCCGTGTCCTCTATCAGCTGCCACAGATGACGTTGCATACAAGCGAGCAAGCATTACAGTTGCTGCTGCACCACTCTGTGCAGAGAAACCACCGAGAACCCAAATCGGTGGGGGAACGTCTGTGTGACGTCTACCGTATACTCGACATCAGATACCACACACCTTATACCGATTATATACAGCCGGTCGCCCCGGTGGTCTAGTTGGTAGCCTCGTAACCTTCTAGAGGTCAGGTCAGGGGTTCGAATCCCGGCGTAGGCGAGCTTTTCTTGCAAAGTGAGTTTTTATCTCGCTTCCGCTCCTGGCCAAGTGGATAGCGTTAGTTCGTGTGTACACAGAAGGTAAAGAGTGCTGAACTCTTCTCGCATTAAAAATTGAAGGCGAAGTACCGCAGGAGGGGAGGGTAGAGAGAGGCTCTTCTGTGTGACCACGGGTTGGAATAAACGGCACTAGTGCTGTGAGCGCTGATTTGAAGTGAAGAACAAAAAAAAAAAAAAGAAAAAAGAAATACAGTAGTAAAGCTCGACTACTCCACATCAAAGAGGATGCGTACACCCGGCGAGACTTTGTCGGAAAGCTCTCGACGAGACGGTTCCCACATCACCATTATCGGCACCGCCACTCTTTGTGCTGTGGAGCAACCGATGTTTGAGATTTGGTTCAGGGGGTGTGGTATCTTGTGTCACCTACGGTACTGCTGTATGCACACGCCAACGGCCGTTCGTTTCAGGAAGGAACCTTTTTTTTGTTAATGACCCGGATGCAAAATTCAAAATGATCCACAACGCACAAAAAAAGGCGTCGCAGATACATACACTAAATCCCTTCTCCAGGTACTGAGTCGGCTACCCCGCAGTCCATTACCCCGCCCTATCTACTGTAGTAACTTACTCATTGTAAGTCAAGGGTGTATGTACGACGAATGTCTTGCACACCTAGGTACCCATTTATTCTAGCCATTTTCGGGGCCGTACCCGGTACTCTAATTCCAATGCACCAAGAGGGCACGTGGATTCAAATACGCGATGCACACCCCAAAACTGGATTAAGGACCAGATCAGGGGGAGGGGCGGGGGGGGGGGTATGTTATATACCGTATACATAGATATATGTAGGAAATAGTGTGGTATAGTATAACCTATATATGTTGTATTGTATAGAATTTAAATTTAGTATGCATGCATATGGCTATTCGAAACCTTAACACCTCTCTTACTGACTTCTTGAAGTTAGGTTAGACCGCTGCTGTGTGTTGTGGGTACATTGCATGTAGTAGATTAAGTGTGTGTAGTAAAGCCTATACATGCTGCTGCTGCTGCTGTGAACCCTGTCTTCTCTATAGGGAACAGCAGACAAGGTGCTTGCTTGCTGATACCCTTACTTTGCTGTTGCAGGAGGACCGACCACATTGATTGACTGCTGCTGCTAAAAGGGGCTACAGAAGAAAGGTCTAGGATTTGGTGTGGTCATATTCACCTCTCCATTGTATGGGTTTTATAATGCCACACTAAAGCCTATACATTATGGAATATATAGGCTTTATTATAACGATTCTAAATCCTATAGAATAACCGCCTTGACCAAACTGAATTAAGCGTCTGAAAAATGGGGGGGGGGGGGTGCATCACGTATTTGAATCCACGTGCCCTCTTGATGTACAGCACAGGGGACCCGCGGCGGGAACCCATTGTTCGTCGGGGTACCCTATGCGCGAGCTACTGCCCGCTCGTGCGACCCCCAGCCACTTGTGATCACACCAAACGGGTACATGTTGTAGCACATCAAAATTTCAGAGTATGCGCGAAACGTCGTCAGTAGTAGCACAGGGTATGCCCCCCATGTGCGGGGCTTGAGTGAAGTGGGCTCTAAGCCTCAAGAGAAGCAATAAACTCTCCGAGAGGTGCGTAGGCGTGCGGGACAACTCTATACTTGCACGGTTGTAAAACTGCCAAATTGCGACTTTTGGGTTGGATATAATAACGTTTCAGTCGCACCGAATGCAAAACCGTTGAACCGCTAAATTGTGATTTGAGGTTTGTGACTGGTAGGTAACGGGGCTGTCCATCCCTGCAGGGCTGTACATACCCCAACCACGCCGCCGGTGGTTGACCCCAAACACGTCGATAGTTTCAACTACAAACATGTACAGCAGTCCAAACTTGGTCGCTCTCAAAGGTTGTCTCGTACACAAAGGAGAAACTCACCCGGGAGGGGGTACAGAGCTGATTCGTGTAGTAGTTGTCGAGGACAACCCCACTCGAGGCCAGGGAGTCCAAGAATGGCGTCAGCTCCCAAAGATCCGTGCTTCGGTAGCCCATGTCGTTCGTACCGACATCGTCGATCAGGATAAATATCACGTGCGGTTGCCCGCTAGCACTATCCTCCTCCTCCTGCTGCTGCTGCTGCTCCGAGAGAAGCAGGTTACTTCGTGCCGAAGCAGTGACTTGGCTAACACCTCGTCCCTCTGTCCCTGGTTCTTCTGCTGGGAAAGAGGGACGAGGACGCGCCAGGTTCTTACAAGCGAGCAGGGTAATGGCAGACATGATAATAAGCAAGCCCCCGCACACCATCGCGTTCTTCTTCGTCGCCTGGCAGTACCCAGGTAACAACCTGCGCCTCCTGCTGCGGTCGCCCTGCTGCTGCTGCTGTATGCATAACTTTTCGTCATCGTGACGCCACCACCTCCACCCTCCCATCTCCGCGTCACCACCGCGGTGCCTGCTCTGGTGCTGCTGCCCACCAGGGAGCAGCCTATCACGCTCGCCAAAGGCCATGTAGCTCATGGTTTGCCAGTGCGGTTGGTCGTGTGGTTGAACCCACAAAACTCTCCGAGACGCACAGCGTCAACGAGCTCGGGGAAAAATCTGTCTGTGTGTGTGTGCCAGTCTGCCCGGAGGCGGCGAGGGTCCGCTCGACAACCATTTTCTGGCTGTACAGACGGTACTGTAGACTATCCGTTTTCTTCTCCCTGCTGCTGTGATCCCGCGGATGATCTCTTTCTTTCTCTGCCCATTTTGGGCCGCAAAGTCATTGGCAATACCCAAGTCGGCATGCTGGGGCGAGCGTAGGTCAACGCCCAGAACAGCAAGTAAGTATGGGTGAAAAAATTTTTTCGAGAGCGATAACATCACGTGTTTGATGTTTTGTACACACGGTTGTTGTTGTTTGCACAAGAACAAACCGTTCCAACCTCTCTGCCCGGTACACTTGTCACTGTCCGCCACTGATCTACTTTACTACTGCTGTACCACGTAATCCGGTCGATTCCCGTGGTCACAGGTTGCCCTGAGGACCGCCTTACCTGCTGTCTTATTACATCAAATAAAATCGACTCGAATGGTCCGCAAAACAAGCAAATCGGAGATAGCAGAGAAATAGTTGTAAAGCACCGGGAAAAAGGCATTCCTGCGGAGGAACTGCGGACAACATGGGCCCATATATCGCCAGGTCCAAAGGTCCAAACCGTGTGGTGGAAATCAGGGTATAGCAGTCCTGGATAACAGCAGTGACCTGTGGCAGGGTACACTCCGGGACATTTGGAACACGCCAGGGTGAACGTCAACGTTGAACAAACGGCTAGGCTATACCATGGACGTCGCGTTGTGGGCTTTCCGAAGCCTAGGTACGCATACGCTGTTGTACCTGCCAGATATGACGGTGATACATACCCGCCGCCTGCGGACCCGAACCGGTCGCCGAACCGCAAGAGGGGATGACACATGACTCCCCCCTCTGTTTTCAAACATCCCTATGGCCTTCGAAGGTGTCGTGCGGCGGTTGGGCGATTTTCCTGGTTTGTCTATGTAGGTCGGTCTGTCCTCTCCCACTGCTGTCCCCGCCTCTGGAGGTGTGGAGCTGTGTGCGGAGTTTGATGACTTCCATCCAGCAGTGTGTGATCTGCTACGAAGAGCTGACTCAAGATCTTAGCGCCGCTCCATGCGGGCACGTGTTTCACTCGTTCTGGTGAGTTTCCGCAGCAGCGAAGAGCTGGGTCCGCAAGACCCAATTAGAGTATGCATAGTATGCATACAACAGGATAGAGAGTACTGCTGTAGACTTCACCACTGATGGTGGGTGCTGTGAGACGAATTCCTGTTTCCCGTGCGCGGATCGTGCGGTGGTGTGTTTTTCCCAGCAGTGCTTGACTTGCAACAGCAGCAAGGTTTAGAGGGTACTCTCCCGTCCTTCCTCCCCGGGACAGAACTGACAAATGGCGGCCTCGCTGCTCACGACCCAGGGGGCACCTTCCAAAGAAGTACAAGTATTGAATGCATACAGCAGTACACCTGGTAACATCCCGACGAACCGCGATCGATCGCGATGCTTTATCTAGTTCCGCAACTGACATGAGATACCACACCCTGGATACGATATATCAACACTTGACTCAGTGCTCTGTAGGGGGGTGGTATCTTATGTCACGTCAAGATCTAGAGAATAAATGCTCCATGTAGGTTGTGGTACTTGTAAGCACTTCACGGCAGTCCTTGCCAAAAATAGTGCGACATAATCGGGAGATTGCTCTATCGAGGGGAAGAACTGTGGTTTATCACCCTCTCCTTGTTGGTGTGAAATCAAAGAGGGGCGTGAAAACATGGGGCCGCCACATCACGCTGGCTGAGAAATGTTTCTGCCGCTGTATACCGTCGGTGACATGAGATCTGACTCCCCTGGGCCGAAGTTTAAAGCTCGATTACTTCCCGACGAATTCGTGCCAAAATCGAACTACACGTTTTTCGGAAAGATCTCGACAAGACGGTTCCAACGCCGCCATTTTCGGCAACGCCATTCTTTCTGCTGTGGAGTACAGTAATCGAGGTTTGAAATCGGTCCAGGGGGTATGGTTTCTTGTGTCACCTAAACGGTACTCCAACTTCGGCATAAACGTCTATCTTCGGTACAACCGCGGTCAAGGGGTGTTGCAGGTTTTCATGGTGCTTGACGTGCGTAGCACATGCCGCCGCCATTGCTGCCCGTTCCTTTTCTCTTCGTCCCGTTTTCCTTTTGCCAGCATCAACAAATGGAATTCGCCGGGAAGGTGCTGCCCAATCTGCCACGTCGTGCTACCGTCGGAGCTCCTCAAGCTGTACTACGAGCCCCAGAAAGACGCACCAGATGAAACGGCCGTCGTAGGCTGTGCGCCAGATTGCGGGACGAAGGACGTCGAGGCTATGGCCGCAGAAATGGAAAAGCTCCAAAGAAAATTGACGAAAAGTAACAAGGTACAGGCCGAGCAATACCGGTGTGCCGATTTTGATAGACTAGACCGTCGACTACGTCGCCTAGTACACGAGACGAGTATGTTGTCGATGGCGCAAGCACAATTCGTTTGATCGTCGGTCGCAACGCTGTCGGTGGTGAGGGGTCGCCTTTGCGTTTGGTGAGGCGCACGTGCTACACAGCGCGCCACGCGGCTAAAAGTTGACCGAGAAATGGTGTTCAAATGATTTGCGTATATTGTTTTGGGTTGGTCGAAACCTTTCGTTGACGAGAGAGCTTAACAGCTCTGCGTACCGCGCATCCCCTGCGAGGGGGTTCGCCTCTTGAGACAAGAAAGCCGTAACTCGACTGCTCCAATAAACTACAACGCTGCCCGCATTGTTTTCTCTCTTGCCCTGCCGCGTTACCGTTTCCATGGCGATCGCCCGCGAACCGCGTACGTACGGCGCGCTCGTCAGACCACGCGAGTTCCTCTATCATATTTACCTTGCCTTGTACACGCAACTGGCCTACCCTGACTTTTTAGGTCCCAGGGTGATGCGCGATCGGGGGCGCGAAAATAGAGGACCTTCCAGGCTCCAAGGGAATGTGGGAATTGCCATACGTGTCTCTACCAAATCAACCCTTGCTATGTGACGAGATATTCCGCCCGTTCTAAGGTTAAGTTGTTTTCGTTTTCTCTCCGCAGAGGTTCATGGAGGGCGAGAATGCGCGCACCCAGAAAGCCAAAGAGCTGGAAGACTTGAAGAGAGAAGTCGCCGCCGCGCATGTCGTTACCGCGAACTCACAGAAGGAACTGGAGACTGCAAAGATCGATTTGGTAAGGACCTTTCCAGTCTTTTTGATTTGACGGCTCTTTTTTGACCCATTAAGCCGCACTCTCACGCTGCGGGCGCAGCGGGCGTGTGGTTCCGTGCACAGCAGGAGGTGGGTCCTGCCTGATCTACGGCACCTCTTCAAAATGCGCTAAGCTCGTCGGCGTGTGGTTCTGAGTGCGGATCGAGACCAAGACAGATTTCATGCAAAATAACACGATTTTTGTCAAGCCGTGCTGTTTTTTATGGAGTATGCACCAAGGATGTAATGCTATGGAGCCTACTGCTGTACCGGGTTTCCCTCCCGTAACTTGTGTTTTTGGATGAACCAAAAATTGGATGCCACGCCCCCGGTACGGAGTGTGGAGGTGTTACCGTGGGGGTGTCACGGAAAGCACGATATATAGAACACTTTTCACAATGGCCAGCAACGTGGTGGCGATATGTGAAGAAAAGCCATCTCTACACAGGGCAATGGAACTCATCGCGCGATGAGTGATGATGAATGCCGTTGGATACCGCCTGGACGTTTGTCCGTGTGTCGTGTGTTGGTCGCCCCCACGCTTCACCGCCCCCACAAATCGCAGTTCAAGAAGCACAGGGACAACAATAGGCTCAAGCGAGAGATGGAAGGAAACCAGAAGCGGCTTCGCGAGATTCAGGGGGACCAGGTGGCTTACAGCTACCTGAGCCAGTTTTCGTCTCCAGCAAGGGGGCGGGCTCTCGTTGGCCTAGGCCAGGTAGGACTAGCCTTCAACTCGCGTCTGAAACGGCGGTGTTGTTGCACGGCACGTGCGTACAGGTCGACGTTAGCGCCGCTGAACTAGATGAATCGTTCGACGTCTGAGCTGTCAATCACTCCTTAGCGTATTTTGGCGGTGGGTCTGTTGTGTGTATGCCCTTAGTCATTTTGTCTTGCCAGAATATGACACAACAGTAGTAACACACAGAGAACGCTCTTTGGCGTGGCGGATGGACTCACGCACGTTGCTGTTGATGGTATCAAGGTGCCGGTGTGGGAGTGGAACAGGCGGCGTTTCGTCTATAGAAGTGACGATGCCGTGTTTTTGTCAAGGGCTTTGGCGAGCGCTGCCGAAGATCTCGTGTTTGCGAGGCTCTCCACGGATATCACGTTGGCCTCTGTATCGTTTTCGAGCCTGTGAGGTCCTCGGCAATGTGAGACATACAGTCCCCCAGATGTTCCGGCGGAGCACATAGGACCAGCACCCTCGAATGCGGTAGGATTTTATTACTTTGCATGACTGTCTTGCCCTGTATACTTCATGTACTTTGCTGTGTGCGATCGGCGTGTGTTTGGATGGTGCGCAAGTGAACGCCCATAAGAACGAAACCTAGCGTCTAATTTCTGACGAGGTTCCTGTTCAACGTTTCCGTACTCTCTCCTGGTCTCGCTCCTTTTTCTCTCTTTATATCTCTTTCTATCCCGTCCTGCCCGTCTGTCCTTCCCTGCGTCTGTGACTGTCTGCCTCTCTGTCTCTGTTTCTCTCTCTCTCTCTCTCTCTCTCTCTCTCTCTCTCTCTCTCTCTCTCTCTCTCTCTCTCTCTCTCTCTCTCTCTCTCTCTCTCTCTCTCTCTCTCTCCCACATACCGTGCTCAAAATTGCGACTGGTGTTCGGAAGACGGACGTGGAGAAGGTGCTCGGACAGATCCGCCAAGGATACACCCAGGCTGACACAGTCATCAGGAGTCAGCACGAGCAGCTTACCGGGTCGATGGAACGAGAGCAGAGAGCCAAACGGGAACTGGTAAGTGGTTGTGATCACACTGCCGTATGAACCCACACATGGACGAGAGGGTAGTCACCACGGAAAGCGCATCGCCGCGGTATTACTGTTCAACACCGGGCCTTGTAAGGTGTGCAACTCGTAAACTTCAGTTTGTGGTTTTCGTAAACACTGCACCGTAGGTACTTCGTGTCGACCTGTGCGTTCGTGCACTATTGGTTCGAAATCGTTTCTTGGAGGGCAAGGTCGATGGCCGTACATAGGGCCAGAGTTTTGTCTAAAACAATTTCCCTTTCCACCTCCTCTGCTGAACCACACAACATTTTTGCACGTCATCATTTTTTTTTTCATTTTATTTCGGTGTTTTTGGCATACCCACCGGCAGGCCTTGCGCCGGCTCCGCACACACGATTAAACCCTATGTTTTTCTCATTTTTGTTTTTGTCTTCATTGTCTCGGCAAACGGCAGCGTAAGTGGAAGCAGGAGGGTGAGACGGTAGCGCTAGAGCTGCAGGGGGTGCGGTCCAGGCTAGCCAGGGCGAGGAAGGAGGTCTCCCGGCTGGACAAAGCCCTAGCCGAGGCCACCGTCAAGGCGGAGAGGCAGGCGCGAGATCGTGAATCCGCGTCATCCCCGGGGCCCTCCGCCGGGACCATCCTCGGCGACTGGGTCGCAGAAGAGAGGCCCTGCGGCAACGGCGGGGAGAGCAAGTGGGCGCTCTCCCGCAAGTCGGTCAACGGGAGGCCAGGCAGCAAGGCGCCTTCGGCCCCGCGGGCTACGGCTAGCTTGGCTTCCAAGCCGGGTGAGGACGCCGTCACGTTTCATCGCTTTTTCCTTCGGTGTTCCTCTTCGGAACGAAGGACCGCTCCCGAACTTGTTTCTCCGCCTTTTTTTGGGGGGGGGGGAAGGGCGGCGTCCGAGACTCAAGACTCTGTTGACCTTCGATTCTGGCTAGAAAAAATCTCTGGGTGTATGTATGGTTGTCTTCTGTGATGTGTGGCCATGTCCATCTCCTTTGGAGAGCAGGTGAGAAGACGTACTGGGCACAGGTCGGGGCTTCTTTTGCTGGTGTGAGATGAACAGGCAATGGACATTGAAACGACCTCAGAATCCTCAGAATTTCCGTTTTCATCCCCCTCCGTTGCACGCACGCACGGGGGGCTCGCTCATCCCTTCCATTTTTCGATTTTTTCGACATCTGTTTCCTTCCGCGCCACTCTTCGCCCCACGCCGCACAGCCAAGAGAAAACGGGTAGAGAGGGCGGACGAGGAGAATGAGGACGACCTCGTGTCGCTTGGTTCAGAATCGGAAGGCGAGGGCGACAGCAGCGAAGACGAGGACGAGGAGGCGGAGTCAGGCTCGCACGGAGACCCCAAAAAGACGGCGGAGAGGCGGGCGGCCTCGCGCGACGGCGGCGGCGCGTTAGGAGGGGCCGCGCTGATAAAGCCGGGTCTACCTTCGCGCACTTTTCTCACGTCGGCGGTGGTGAGAAGCGGGTCAGGAGGACAGCCGAACCGAAAGCCCGGAAAGTGAGATATATCTGTGTCATGTCTCTACTCATCCAAGTTGTTGCTGCTGCCCATCTATCACCGTGCCTCGGGCGTATCTTGTCGCGAGCTATTACTCGCAGTGCGTGCACTACAGCACTAGTACTGTCTCGGTTCTCCACTCGCTCGGGAGCATGATATTTCGACGAGGTTCGGCGATCGCAAGCGATTTTGCGGTCGTGGGCTGTTGCGCTCACGTCTAACTCTGGGCGTGGCGTGGCATGGTGCGGCGGTGTTTATCCTGTTTAGCCGGTCGCCCCGGTGGCCTAGTTGGTATCCTCGAAACCTTCTAGAGGTCAGGTCAGGGATTCGAATCCCGGCGTAAGCGAGCTTTTCTGGCAAAGTGAGTTTTTCTCTCGCTTCCGCTCCTGGCCTAGTGGATAGCGCTGAGAGTGCTGGACTCTTCTCGCATTAAAAATCGAAGGCAGCGTACCGCAGCAGGGGAGGGTAGAGAGGGGCCGTTCTGTGTGACCACGGGTTGGAGTAAACGGCACTAGTGCTGAGAGCGCTGATTTAAAGTGAGCACAAAAAAAAAAAAAGGTGTTGGTGTTATGAGTTCGACAGAGCGAGCCTCCACGTAGACTTTCGCAGACCAGGGTGCGCGCACTAAGGGGTACTGCATCGCTTCCCGTAACCTTCCCTTTGTTGCACCTGTAAAGGCTCATCAACAAGGGGTTCAACGCCGTTGGCGGGAGACATCTAGTAGTACGACCTTCCGCCTCTTCCTCCACGAAACCTGCCTTCTACCTCGGTGGCAAGCAGAGCCGCCTCGCCACCACTTCGCGCAACCGGACTCTCTGAATAGCGCGCGTCAGCCGGGGGGGAGCTTGTAGTTTCGTCCATTAAATTACGGATGCCACGGCAAAGGGGGGGGTGGCACAGGCTTTCTTTCTGTGGGCCTGGAGCACCGATCTATTTAAAGGCTTGCAGCAGCAGTCCGAGCGGACCAATCTGGCCCAAGACGTGCGTGCGCGTACCCGGGGCTGGAAGGCGTTCAGGCCACCTCCCTTCGGTCGATCTGGTGCAAGACGTGCGTGAGAGTGCCCCTGTGCTGGTGGAAGGCTTCCAGCTTGTCTCCTTTCGTCGGAACAGTGTTGATGTCGGCGACGGTCCTGGAGTTGTCACTCCAGCAAGTTGGCATACATACACAGCAGCGGGATGACCCCCCAGGTCTTGCGGATAACGGTTGCCGGTTGGTTCAATCGTCCGTGGTGCTTTTACGCCGATCCCGCCCTCGCCCCGGTTGGAATTATTTATCTCGTGAAACTTCAAGAAAGTCCAGACGTTGGTGGAGGTTGTATCTTGGCCATGTGTGTGTGCCTTCAGCGACTACGTAGAAAGACGCTCCGCTTGGGGGGGGTTCAAGGTGTTACGGCGTATGTATGTCGGCCTTCATACTGACTATGGATAGGTGGATTTTGTTCGCCTCCATGAGGTAGGCTGGGAGGCTGGAATGCCCGAAGTGTTCACTGCCAAGTGTACCGATATCGTATTTTGTCCCTTGTCTTTGTTGTGGCCCGGGATTGTTTGAACAGGAATGGGGCGTGCATAAGCGCAGCCTGGAATGTGGTCGGTTGAAATTAGGTTGTCGATATACAGGGGAATTTTGGTATAACGACGTACTTTTTTGCTGTTGTGTGATGCGTTGTTTCTATCGTGACGCCGTCACATTTGCCCATGGCTCCCTTTTCTTTTCGTACGCGTTTGAACCTTGCCCAGTTTTTTTCAAGTGGAAGCCGGTCTTCTGAGCGAGCTTGAATTTTTCATTGCTTGTGGATTTATTTCTGTCGAACGGGAAAATCCAGATCTCTCCGCCGAGTCCACCGTTGGTCCATGTAGACAATACTTTCATCCCCTATGGTTTTTTGTTGTTTTTTTTCTTCCCAAGCCTCCTTTACAACTGTATCTCTGAACCGGGGGGGACAACGAGCGCAGGGTAGCTGCTTTCTCGCCTAGTTGCCGAAAATTTCGAGTAATGGCACAAATGGCACACCCTTTACAGTGTAGAAGTCTTTCATACAAAAGCCTTAAATCTCCACATGCGAAAACCGACTGGTACCTGTACAGGGGCAAGGATTGATTGCTCTCTGTCTCTGGTTTACTATATACGACTTTTTTCCCACAGCCGCCTGTTAGGTCGCGGAGCAAGCAACCAAGCTACATGAAAGTCGGTAGCGGTCTAGGGTGCGTGTGCGATGGCTTGCATAATAACGTGGCTGGCTGTTGTCTAGTCTACGTGATGTTGTGACTCCTCGGATTCGTCTTGCATTTTGTGTGGATTATGGCACGCCAAAAAACAAGCAGTAAATCAAAAGCGCGGACAACAAGTAGAGTACGGAACGACATAGCGGGAAGGACGGGTCCGTACCACCGACACCGTGCAGCAATTTCTGGGAAGGGGCGAGAACTACTGTAGTCGACTAAAGAGATGTGGATGGGGCCACTGCACTTGCACACTCTCTGTGTCAGTAGTTAGAATGCACGGTGGTTCTGCTACTGGGAAGGGAAGCAGCCATGTATGTACCCTTTCACCAACCGCGTATACCTCCAAAGTGCCCGATCGCGTGCAACTTCCCACAACCCGACCGGACACATCATCCCCAGCAAGCAAGAGAGACTGCTGCAAGCATGCTTCGCGGCGTGCAAAGAAGCTCTGCCTTGCTACGCAGTGGTGCTGTTGCAGGGTCTAGGGCACGATGTCCGAGCGCCGTCCTCCCTGCTGCTGCTGACGCACGCGCAGGGGTCGGTGCTCGGCCTCAGCCGAGGTCTCAGAGAGGTGCTTTCGACTCCTCCGCTGCTGGCCAGGCGCGATGGATGTCGGCGGCGACGCCGGGGTCGACGGAGGACAAGAAGGACGAGCCGGAGGCGAAGGGGTTCCTGAGCAAGCTGATGAGCAAGGAGAGCTGCGTGGTAAGCTGTTGTCCGTCTCTCCAACCTCTGCTTCTTCTTCTGTCTAGTAGCCCTATTGCGTGCAGTGAAAGTGCATTTACTTCGCACTTGACTTGACGGAGAAAAGTGTGATGGCGTCATGATGGTGATCGGACGGATTGGGACACAGCAGTGGGTCAGTTTCTGCGTTTTCAGCAACACACAGCACCAGAACTTCGCAAAACCAGCTATGCAACACACGGAGGCCGCCGCCGCCGCCGCTGCCGCGCCTCGGTGCTTTGTCTCTCGACGCTTGCTCTGCAGGCTTCGCCGAGCTTCACAAATCGCTGGGCGATGGTCGCTCCGGCGTTCTTGACGCACATGTGTATCGGCTCCCCCTGGGCGTGGTCGGTCATGTCGGGAACCATCAGCCGCGAGCTGGGGATCGTATCAAGCGCGGCCGGTGATTGGTGAGCGCGTCCGTCCGTATCTACTGCGTTTGTGTCTTGTGTGTCTGGCGTTGTCTGGTTCTTCGATGGGCGCATTTGCTTGCTGTTGTACATGGCTGCTGGAGCACGGCACAGGGGTGTGTTGTGTCATGTTCTGCGGCAAGGGTGAGGCATTGTTGAGCGCACACAGCAGCAGGCAGACCAGCGCAAAAAAACAGTAATGCGACGACTGCTGCTGTTCTTGTTTGGTCCTCTACAGCTGCTGTAGGAAACAAAAATTGGCCGGCCTCCAATGTGCGTGTGCCCACATAGAATTGGGCGGGTGACCAAAAAGAGAGAATGTTGCTCTTATGCAACGTCAACACATGGATATGTCGGAGCGCAGGTACCCGTCCGTAATCGGCAGCTTAACGCTGCGGTCTCTGCAAGCATGCCCACGCCCAGCCGTTCTCCTCTACAGCCCACAAAAGGGCCAGCAGCTTGATGCGGCAGCAGAACCGTTGTACCTTTTTGCCGCCCGACAACAACCAGTCTCATGCTGCTGTAGGCACTTCACCGAACGGCCGGTTGATGTTGCCGTTCTGTTCGCGAAAAGCCCACAGCCGATCATTTGCAGATAGACGATGCCTTTTTTTTTTTTTCTGAACATGACACAACGAATCAAGCATTTTCCTGTTATTTATTTCTTCGACACGACCAATACATCTCTATCCATCGAAAAGAGGCTAGGTTAGCAATGAATCCTAGCGAAGCTTCCTGTTAGCAATGAATCCTGGCGAAGCTTCCTGTATTTCCACGATTTCCTCTGCGCGCATTTGCACTCCTCGCCGTGCTCATGTACTGCTGTATTTGATGGAGATGCTCTGATAAACACAGCAGTCATGTCAGGTACAAGATGCCACATGAAGAGACAAGACGTGCACGATTGCAAGGGGATTAGCCCGTGCCTCCCACACACTGCTGTTGTCGTATACCAACACGCTGACACAGACGTTTTTCTTTTTGTTGTCAACACTTGAGTTTGCGTCAATCCTCATGTGTAACCGCGCGGCTGGTGCGTGAAGCATTAGCCCGAAAGGTCACCACCGGCGCCCACAATACAAACACACACGCGCGCACGCGTCAGATGGACAGGTGTGGATGTCGGAGGGTACGTCGAAGTACTTTGAGCTGCCATCGGAGCGCGTTTTACATTAATATGAAACATGCAACGAGGCCTGGCACAACTCGTTGATGCTGTGCTTGTTCTGATGATCTCATAAGTATATACAACAATACAAGAACACCGGGTAGGCAGTAGTCTACATCTGCTAGGTGCATGCATAGCGTGTGCCACGCAAGATAACACCCCCGCAACAGCAGTTCTCCCCCCGATACGACACCTGGTTTTATTACTTTTCTGCTCAACACGAGACCACACTCCGAGACAAAGAAATAGCGCAAATAGCGCAACAGGGGATAACACGCCTCCACAAAATATGTTTCCGTCATGTTATTTTTTTTCCACCATATACGTTACCTCCCATTCACGCGAAACATCAATCACAGAACGACAGAGTCGAAAGGGATGTTGAGATCTTCGCAACTGTGAGTGGTAGAAAAACCGGGTGCTGGATACTTTTCCGTAACACTTTTGACTACTCCCGTACAGCGTGATACACTGGCCCCAAACGGGGCACCGGCACACGTACTTGGCGTGTACCCCATCGTGGCTGCCGTTGCCGGGTTACAAGTGTATGCATCCTCACATGCCCGCAAGCAACAGACTTGCGCATGACTAACGACCAGAAGTCAACCTCAAACCGTTAGACTAGTCAGCACAGAGAAGCCGAAATCAAAACGTGAAGACTGTTAGTGAGTATTGTTTGACTTGCAGCCGCTGACTAGTCCACGGGTTTGATATCAGGTTCTGCTAGCAGTGTATCAATTTGATGTCGGTGTCAATTCTCCCTAGTCCAATGGTTTGATTTTGGCTTCTATACAAGGCGGCCACATGCATCCCTTGCGCGGGTATTGGGAAACGGTTCCACCGGACAAGCAGCGAGACAGGCGTGGAGCGTCCCTCCGAAGCTTCAGCTTGTGTAATGTATTGAGCGGGTTGTTGTTTACGCATGGTATTGGCCTTCCGTAAGGTTTGGAAGGGCCAGCACCTCGTGCCGCCTAACGGCGTTATACTCAGCAATTGGAGAGTGGAGAGTCCCACCCGTTGGAACATCCCACCCTCGATTACGCTTCAAGCACCTTGCGAGTGAGGAGCTACCACCTTGTGTTTTTTGTTTTTGTTGTTCCCGACGCGTTGATTGGTTTAGAACGATGACGGAATTGCCCCTGCGTTTATCTCTTCTACAGGTCGATGGCGGAAGCCACCATGCCGATGAGCATCGTCTTCGCTACGCTAGGGCTCGCCGCAGCTCTCGGCGGCTCGTGGGCTCACAAAGTAAGATGTCCTGGTTGACTCTCCGCCTTGGTTACCTAGAACTAGCTTTTGTAGGGAGTCAGGACGACCTCGTCAAGCTCACCTACCGTAGGTTGCATAAGATATCACACCCCCTGTACCGATTTTCAAAGCTCGATTACTCCAAGACGAAGAGGATGCCGAAACCAAAATTTATGTTTCGGAAAGCTCTCGACGACACGGTTGCGATGCCGCCATTTTCGGCACCGTCAATGCTTTTCCTGCCGAGAAATCCAGCTTCGAAAATCAGTCCAGGGAGTGTGATATCTTATGCAACCTCCGATATTCTTGTTTGTCTGCCTATTTGTGTGTGCCTGTGGCTTTCGCCACGTTCGTGGCGCGTTTCTTGACAGTCCCGTACAGTCCCGTACAGCACACAGCAGTGGGCTTAGGCTCTCAGCTGTAAGGCGACTGGCCGTTGAGACTTGGTTCTGCACGTGATGTGGAGTGACTCCGGAATGTACATGCCAAAACACCATCTCAGTATCCACCCGCTGCTGCTGTTGCTGCTGACATTTTTCTATAGGTCGGTCCGCGAATGAGCATGTCGGCGGCATCGTTGTGCTTCGGCGGAGGGGTCATGATCGGGGGACTGGGAGTCGAGTACCACAGGTTAGTTGCTGACTTTCGCCTTGCGGGGAGGGGTGCAGTCATGACCTTGCCGTAGGTGACGCAAGACATCATACCCCCTCGAACTCGAGTACTACTCGAGCAGAAAGTGGTGCCGAAAATGGCGGCGATGGACCCGTCTCGTCGAGATTTGTCGTGTCGTGGTGTGATTTTTTGCCTCCTATTCGTAGTCGGATTTGGAAAATCGGTCCAGGGGGGTGTGGTACCTTCTGTCATGTCACCTACGGCGGAGATGCGGGACGGTTGTGGCTCTCGTTGTCACCCATCACCATGCTCATGAGTCGTGTGTACAAGTGTATATACAGTGGGGAATTCTAGTGTCGTCCACGACTAGTTTAATCGTACGATCACCACGGCGTAGGCCTTGCAACGTCATGCGAATCTCGGATTGTCCTTACACCTCGCCCTCGTCTCTCTCTGTTGCACCCACCGTCCCGCCTCGTCACCGAAAAGCCTCCCCCTGCTGTACGGGGGTTACGGTGTTCTAGCGGGTACCGGTCTCGGGCTTGCCTACACGCCGCCCATCCAGACGCTCATGGGCTGGTTCCCGGACAAGAGGGCTCTGGCCTCCGGCCTGACAATCGCAGGGTGGGTTTAAAGTTGCTTCAATGATCGTCTCTGTGGTGTGAGGTTCGCAAGCAATGGATTGCTGGTGGTTGGGCTTACCCGTCATATGTGCTGGGTTCACGCTGTGTCGACTATTGGGCTATCCACAAAACCGCGAGTTTTTATCCACCCGGGTGGACTATGAGTGTACCTACCGCGTTCCACCGAGATACATTAGTTACCATATTCCACAATGATAAGCACGGGGTGATAGTATTGTTGAGGTTCAACGTGAGCCCGACACGTAAGGCACCCTCAGATGAAGTAACACGGTCACCGAAGATACCACCCCCCCATCAGAATTCCCCAATGAGGATGTTTTTCAACGCCAAAAATGCCATCACCGGGTGTGTGTGTGTGCTCATAGTAGTGCATGCCGCAGTCGTTAGACCATTGACCTCGCTTCCCTACAAGCCGGGACGGGGCAAGCCGCGTTCTCACCGGACCAGGCTCTCATATCACCAAGCGCGAAGCACCGGGAGATATTCGGCGAGTCGCATGAAGGGTGCGCTGCATCCTGCTAAGGGTGTTCGGCATCACGGGGGGGGTGGGGGGGGGGTTCTTGCGTGGAATACGGCAGATACGTCGTTGCCCACCCAATGCACTTCCCACCTGAGTTTTCGATGTTGTTCACGGGCAGACAGCCCTGCCCCGCGCTAACCCTTTCCCTCACACCGCCTCGTCTCAAACGACGCCAGTGATGATCGATCCCCGACCTCTTGCTGACCAACGGCATGACCCTTCCCCCCCTTGTATCTACGGAATACCGTGAAAACGTCGGAATTCCGTATACTTTCGTGACGCCGGGGGACAGGTTCGGATCGGGAGCGCTGGTGTTCGCACCTCTGGTGAACACCCTGATGGAGAAGTTTTCCAAGATGCCGACGTATCTCGGGACGATGGACCAGGTGCGACGGTTTCGCTCCGTTCCTGGGATGGTTCCTAGGACCGTTCCTTGCTTGCCGGGTGTCGTTGGAAACGTTCACGGCGGCATCGCTTGGCGACTAAATCGAAAGTAGTGATTGGTTGTGAGGAGTGTATAATTGAACGTCATCGGAAACTTAACATGCCGGTTGTGTATGTATTACCGTGCTTACATACCCGTGTTCCGCAGGTGTCCACTGTCATGAACGAGGGGAAGCTGTTCGCGCAGACGGCTTCGGGGTTGGTGGAGGTTGTGTCGGTGAACTCGTCGGAGCTCGCTCGCCTCCCGTACGACCTGGCCGAGGGGGTGTACGTGGTCGGCACGGGGTCGACGGGAGCGGCGGCCGCGCTCGGCGTTTGCGGTGAGGGAGCTTCGCAACTGCTGTGTCGGAGGGGGCGGGGGTACTCTTGACATGTTTTGCGTGCCTTGGGAGTTAGGCCCTTGACAATGCGTCCTCGAGAAGACGTAGCAATGTTCCCACGGGGGATTCGAGGGAGATGAGAATCCCAATCGTTTGTCGCCGTGATCAGTTTGGCGTTGTTTTTTTGTTGGAAATGCTATTTCGGTGGCAGAGGCTTCCCTTGCGCAAGTGTGGTGAACCTCGCGCTTACATGCGGGGCAAACCGGGTCCGCGATGAAGCTTTTGGTTTCTCAGGAGATGGCGCAGCAGGAGTTCCACTCCCTGCACAGCTTACAAACATATCATCAACATCAGTAGTTGTGAACGGATGCAAGCTACCCGTTACGGTCGTTGTTTCGAAACCATCATTTGCGCAATGTTCAGTGCCCTTATTTGTTTGGAAACACTTTGTTGTGCAGGAAGGATTCTTCACGGGTATTGTTTTGGACGTATGTATTCGCACAGCTTGCTGAAGAAGCATGCAGTTGTATTGTACAACAAATACTCCTACTAAGACCGTGTTGTTGGTGGGTGTGCAAAGAGTAGGGCATGAGGCGTGGAATGATGTTTGTGTTGGTGGCCGTGCATGCACTCCCCCAAGTACACGATGCTGTGTGGTATACTGTGGTAGGTTCTACTTGTTACTGGCGAGCTTTTCTGCTGTCGTGACTCACGCCTGTGTGGCTGCGTCCCTACTTCGGTGGGCGAAACGCAACCGTTCGTATCTGTATTCACGTCGATTTATCGGAAGATGACTCACGTTTGTTCCCCAATTGGTGCGGCTCGGATGCCGCTCCAAGCATTGTACTCCGTACTATTTATCTCTCCGAACGTTTGTCTAGAAACGGATCCGGTGCCGCGTCTAACTGCATCAAATCCTGGATGCGTTCGCTGCTGTCTCAGGTGCCCTGTACGGAGGAATCATGTTGGCCTCCGCCATGACCATCAAGTCCCCTGCCCCCGGGTACAAGGTGCCCGGGTTGCCCGCCCCCTCGGCGAGCGAGGAGAAGGCGGCTCCGGCTGTCCAGGTAAGGAATGGCAATGTTATGACACGGCTCCTTCCGCCCAGGTTCGGGCATTGTGGTGGTCTCTGTAAATGGTGGGTGGCCCTGCGGTATACGGGGCCGGTGAAGTAGCATGGTCAGACGGGAAATACATGGAAGTTATCTCATGCTCTGAATCGTGCCGGTACCCGGTGGGGCGGACCAAGTCCCTTGGAACAACGGAGCCTTATACATATGCGATGCGGGAACCGCTACTGCTGTAATGTTTTCCCTTGCTATTTTGATGTTGCTGAATACATAGCGTCCAAACTGTCGTGGGGTGAACTGGCGGGGTGTATGCGTGGTTTGCTGGTGCGCAAGATCACAGTCCGGTCGTTTTTTTTTCTTTTTCGGTTGCTGAGGGGGTCTTGACGTCTCAACACGGAAAGCGTGCGTTGCTGGTTGACACCTGCACCTCTGGGCATGACGGCTGAATAGATTGTGGGAGATGAAAGGAGCCATATGGCCCTAGAAGAGATCATGCTGTGCCTCTATCCCTACCCCCCCCCGCATGCATGCATGTCCCTAGGCTACACATCACTGCAGTGTTCAGAAAGGTTTTGCCCTGTTAGAGGGGTCCTGCAGATGAGATTTATGTGACGGACAACGTTGGGCAGCGAACGTTCCCTCGAGGAGATGCAAGGCTGGTGGCAGCGACGATCTGCAGCTCCTTTCCTTAACCTCCGTATGACTGAAACCGTGCTCTCGACATGCTTCCCGCTCGCCCCCCCCCCCCCCTCCCCTCCTCCTCGCAACAGAACAACGTTGCTCCCAACGTGGCCATGAAGACACCGCAGTTCTTCGGTCTCGGCGTGACGAACTTCTTCGTGGGATGCACCGGGTTCGGGCTGTTCAGCGTGGCCAAGCCCATGATGGGGGAGGTATTCAGCAACACCCTGCCCACCCTCGTGACGGCGAGCTTCGCCTCCGCGTACGTCCAGGTGAGGTAGCGTTTTGTCCTGCGGATTCGGGAGCACTTCGAGGGTTAGGGGAGGGTCGGGGATCGAAATGATCAACTCAAAATTAGTTGGAAATACGTATGCATGTAAGAAAAAACGATTCCGGCCTACACGGTACGAGCTTTACCGGCGGTTAACCGCCGCGTCCAACCCAAATAGTTCAAGCCAGGGAGCACGCAGACTGTTTTTTCGTGTGTGGTACCTGTGCGAGTTGAGGCATGCGATGTACTGGCTGCTGCTGCCGGGCTAGGATATTCACCGACCTCGAGCCCACGTTAAACTGCCAAGCTTTTGGTGGCGTGACGATGTGGCCGGGGGGGTGATGTAGTCAAATAAACTAATGCCCTGGTCGTGATCACCGTTGACTTGGCCTCCCTAGAGCGCTGGGATGTGGCGATGTGTCCTTTTTTCTTTGCTGGCCCAGGCTGCATGAACCAGACGTGACTGACGGCATTTATTGTCCCTGTGTGGGGGTGTCTGAAACATCCATCCATCGCTCGTTCGGTCATGCCGTGGGATGGCAAGCTGTTAAAAACTGCGGTGGCTCTCCCACCGGATGGGGGTGTCTGAAACATCCATCCATTGCTCGTTGTGTCATGCCGTGGGATGGCAAGCTGTTGGAAACTGCGGTGGCTCTCCCACCGGACGCTTTTTTGTTCGTAGCCCCACAGTGTTAGGGTCGACTGCATGGCGGTGAGTTGTTTCATTCAGCCTCTTCCTGCATGACGCTTGACTTCCCCGCAGATGCTGGCGCTGGGGAGCCTGGGTGGCCGAATCGGATGGGCAGCATTCTCGGACAAGTTCGGGAGGAAGCTGACCTTCCAGATTGTGCGTGCGGTCCTTTCGACTCCATGTCGTTTTCGTTTTTCTGTCTCATGACGTGCGATAAATGGCAACGGGCCTCAACGATGGAAGCGATTTTCCAGCGCACGCCTTGAGTTTCGACCTTGGTGTTGATCCGTGCACGGGCGTTCTTCTGAGCACTGTCGTAGTTGCTGGTGTGTTTGGTGCTTACCGTATGTTGCAAAAGATGTCGCACCCCCTGCACCGATTTTCGAAACTCGGATTACTCCACGACGAAGAGGATGCTGAGATTGAAGGATGCGTTTTCGGAAAGCCCTCGATGGGACGGTTCCATCGCCGCCGTTTTCGGCACCGTAACTGCTTTTACCGCCGAGATAGCGAAATTCGAAAATCGGTCCGGGTGGTGTGATCTCTATTCCAACCTACGGTACCCAAGCAAGATACAGTTTTCGGCATGTGGAGCACGCGGTGCCGGAGCGTGAACGACACGCGCCTTTTTTCCGTGGACAGTTCTTCTTGCGATCTTGTTGAGTGTAACTGACGGGGCCGTTTCTATTGCAGCAGGTACCTCGCTCACCTTGTGTGTCGTTGTCGCGCGTCGTCTCTTCTCCTGACCCTTTGTGCCGCACCACGCCTGGTGCAGTTCACCTTGGGATCGGTCCCCCTGTACCTGGCGGACCCTGCCATCGTGCACAACGTCATCGCAACGGGGGTGAGTTCGTTCGTGTACCACACACGGTGAATCAAGCTGTTCGTTGACTTGTCACGCCGCCACTGCCTGTAGCACGCATTCGCTGCAACCAAACCCTGGCGTAGCATCGCTTAGCCAAGGAGAGACTCCAGGACAGGCCGAAACCTGTTTCACGCAGCATATTTCCGTCGCAAAGGTTGTACGGTTGCAACGCAACACACGTTTTTTCACGCGTTGCTCTGTAAAAGTGACACGAAATGCTCTCATGTCGCCACCGCCGATTTCTTGACGTGTGTCTGTTTTGTGAACTGGACCTTGGTGTGTTTTTTTTCCCGCGTCGTCAGAGCGCCATCCCGCTGGGCATGTTTATCGGTTCGACGTTCTTGGCCATCACGTTCATGGGGGGGGTGTACGCTGTTCTCCCTGCCTACGAGGCTGACTTGTTCGGTGAGTTGTTTACGTTCCGCGGGTAGCGGATGACGAACTGACTAAAGTCAGGGCGATGCTTCGCAGCTTCGACAGCCATTGCCTACGGCTGTATCGTGGGCGAGTTTTTTTTCAGTTGATTGTGTTGCCTGTAGAAGGGATTCGGTTGGGTTGATCGGATGGAAGGGATATTTTCGACGTGACCTTTATTGATCGGCGCTCGTGGGTGTGTACACACAACAATAGTGTCCACCTTTCGAATATCGAGATCCCAATGTTGCGTTCGTGCGAGAAATGCGACGCGTCCCTAAAGTTTACAAGGTGAATGGACCGTCCAAGTCAGGTAGAAATGAGAGTGCGGTTTATCTTGACCCTCGTTTTGGAGTGACATCCATACTGAGTCGAACGAAAATCGCCGAGAGTTAACCTCGACCACCTCCACCCACAGCAACTGCTACGGTCGCAGCATCATCTTCCCCTGTCTCACCCCCCCCCCCCCCCCC